GGGGGGGAGAGAGGGAAGGGGAGGAAGATTTGACAGAAATCAGAGAAAGAAAGGAAAATGGAGGTCTAAAAAAACTAAAAGAAGAGGTGAAAGCTTTTAGGTTAGCTTGGTGGTTTTGCGAGGCTACTTCTGGAAATTTGTTTTTCTGTACAAAATATGCAGAGAGTTCTGTACAGTTTTTCGTTGTTGTCTTCTTGCCGCCAACCTTTGTTTTCTTGTTTCCTTAATCCCAAACTTTGTTTGTTTGTTAAACTTTGTTTCCATTTTTTTTTTTTTTGTTTCTCCTCCCAATTTTGTGTTCTTCTTTTCTTTTGCTTGTTTTCTTGCCTCCGAACTTTGTCTCCCTAGCCTTATAACTTTGTCTTGTTTTCTTGCCACCCAAACTTTGGTTTCTTAGCCCCAAACTTTTTCTTGTTTTCCCCTACCCTCCGAAGAGATTACCTCCCCCCTCCCCCCCCACCCCCTCCTGTTTCTGCACTCCTCTCTGTGCTCTGTGTTTGGTAGCTTACCTTGCCAGCAGCTGTTCGGATTGTTCTTCATTCTATTTTTAGAATTTTTTAGTCGCATCTTTTACGGCTACGATGCACGTTATCCAAAGTTTCTGTGGCCCTGTGCGAGGCAGACTCTGGGCAGATTCTCAAATTCTCATTCTGCAAGGCACTGCCTAACGATGGCATTGCAGGCACCAACCCTTGTTTGTGGAATTCCCTCGATGACATGGCTGTCAACGTTCTTTTTTTTTCTTTTATTTTTTTTTTGGCGGGGGGGGGGGGGGGGGGGAGGGGGGTTCAGCCTAACAAATGTGGTTTGTGGAATTCACTCATTGCAGGCAGCAACCCTGAGTGTGTGGGTTAAAAAAAGAAGGAAGAGAAAAATGAAGCAAGAAAAGGAAAAAATGAAGCGAGGGAGGAAGTCCCTGCTGAGGGAGGGAGGAAGTCCCTGGTGTAAAGATGTTTATGTCCCAACAAGTTCAATCCAGAAAATGGGAAATGGTCCCATGGCCCCATGGTCCCATGGTCCCAGTACTGAGCTCATGTATGGAGGGACGCCGGAAACCGATCGAAAGGAGGCGTCGGCCATTGTGGCACCTCTATACTGCGCATTCTCCTACCGGCTTTGGATTAAGGGTTGCACCTGTGTGTGTGTGTGTGTGTGTGTGTGTGTGTGTGTGTGTGCGTGAGAGAGAGAGAGAGAGAGAGAGAGAGAGAGAGAGAGAGAGAGAGAGAGAGA